TCGCAATTAGTCATTCTTCTTGCACACCAAATTATACTATAAAAAATCTTGCATGTCCACGTGTCATTATTCTACTGCTCAGAGATAAACAAAGTCCTACCTGGCAAGAACTCAGAAGCCTATTGGCTGGGATCATATCCAAATCAGATAAGGATAATATATAGAGCTGCAATTAGCTTATATCCCAAAGTATCACTGACTCAACTATTTGACAAACTCTGAAATCCAAAACAAATAATAATAAAAATTTTTTTTTAAAAAAAAGAAAATTTCCCAGATTTACAATGGCTATGGCTTCAATAGCTGGCTTCCTCGGCTCCTCCCAAGCCGTCCTCGAGGGCAGCCTCCACCTCAGCGGCTCGAGCCGCCTTAGCATCGCTTGCAGCCCTAAATCGGTTCCCCTGGAGAGACCGTGTTTCACCATCCGGGCCCAGTTGCCGAGCCAAGCCGAGACCAAAGAGACGAGCCGCCGGGGCATGTTGGGGCTTGTTGCAGCTGGGATTGCATCTGGCTCGTTCGTGCAAGCCGTGTTAGCTGAGGCCAAGCCGATCAAGGTCGGGCCTCCACCTCCACCCTCCGGCGGACTGCGTAAGTAATTTGGCGTTTTTGTTTTTGTTTTTTTTTTGTTTTTTATTAATCATATTTTCAAAAATTATAATTGTCAAAATTGCAAAAAATACTCGGTTATTGGGGACAACATAAATCAGTTTTGCTCAGCTTAGTAAACTGTACAGTACCAACTAACTAATTCAAACTCAAATATTCTACCAAAACATGTGGGCAAAAATGCACTTTATTCCCTGCATGGCCTGTGTCAATTATGGATGAATTGCTTGCAGCCGGAACGTTGAACTCGGACGAACCGAGAGATCTCGCGCTGCCTCTTAAGGATCGGTTCTTCCTGCAGCCGCTCACGCCAGCTCAGGCGGCGGCTAGGGCCAAGGAATCGGCCAAGGAAATCGTGAACGTGAAGTCGTTTATCGACAAGAAGGCTTGGCCTTACGTGCAAAACGACCTCCGATTGAGGGCCGAGTACCTCCGTTATGACCTCAACACAGTCATCTCGGCTAAGCCCAAAGACGAGAAGCAATCCCTAAAGGACCTCACCGGAAAGCTTTTCCAAACCATCAGCAACGTAAGATTTGAATTCAGTTAAAAGAACCTATAAATTACTAACTAATGCTCGATAAAATCGTTACAATATGGCACATTTGATGATTTCAAAAGATTCGACTCTTGACGATTTATTTAATTTTTTTTTTTTTAATCAGCTTGACTATGCAGCAAAGATCAAGAGCAGCCCTGAGGCAGAGAAGTACTATGCTGAAACTGTAACTAAGTTGAATGATGTTCTGTCCAAGCTTGGCTAGAAATAACATAACAAAGTATATATGCAATTTATGTATGGTAATATATGCAAGCTTTGCTTTATTTTTGTTGTGAATGGAGATCATTTTCCCTCTTAATAGAGCTCAAAAGTGAAATTTAATTTAGCAATAGCTAACCATATATTGTCACTAAACTTGTTAATAATCACTCAATTAGTGCTTCATCAACAATTAATGAATAAAGGTTGTATAGTTATTTATTTATGCTCTATCTGCAAAGTAGAAGTCATGATGGTCATAACTCATATATTAGTTGTTTAGCTTCATTCTCCAATTTGAGAGCATACATTTAAGGCCACAAATATCTCTATGTGTATAACTTCCCCACTTCCTCTTCGCCTTCTTATGACTCTACCGGCTTATTTCTATCGGGTGAAAGCTGCTTACGTGGGTTTTCTAAACGGAGCCTGGATACTTGTCCAACCAAAGTCAACCATGAATTATTCGAATTGAATATAGGAATTCCCCCAAACAATGCGTCTAATTGCACTTCACGCTCCAGCTTTTTGATGATTCAATTTCTCTTTCTTGGGCGAAACAGAGGATATCTCGGTCGGGGGAGGCAGTCGTTTCAGTATGTTAAGGGTATATCTGTATCCACGATTGAAAAAGAAAACCATAGAACTTTTTGAAGAATTTTTTTCATTTAATCTATTTGAACACACTTGGAAAGGGTGGACAATTAGTTAGAGCGGCGGGTACTGTAGCGAGACTGATTGCAAAAGAGGGAAAATCGGCCACATTAAAATTGCCTTCTGGGGAGGTCCGTTTGATATCCCAAAACTGCTTGTCCATAGACATTCTAATCTATGGTTTTTATTCTATAGTATTCTACTATGAAACGATTTTTTTGAAAAAGTCTTGGCAAGAGAACATCTTTACCATACATTAGTAATAGGAATATTACTAGTAATATTAATAGTAATAGTAATAGGAATATTACCCCGAGCTACAACCCTCACTGTCGATTCAAAACACAACTACCTGTACCACAACCACTGGCATATGCGGTATGCGGGTGTCAGGTCTAGGTCTAGATGGAGTTTCTCGTTCCAGTTCCATTTCTAGTTCAGGTTATGGTTCGAGTGGAGAAGCAGAGAGGGCATGCCTTCCCTAAGTTGGTTAGATCGCCCGAACGAAGGAACGGGTACTATCGGGTCAATTCAATAATAGACGCCTATTGGCATTCCACCCTTCCTTCTCCTTTCAGGGCCTATCCGAAAGAGAATCCAGTACTTCTTGTTCGTGAATATCTGAACTGGTTGTTCGCAGTCCCCCGCCTTACCACTCGGCCATGTCGCCAAAATGATACAAAATAGATGAAAATTTTCCCGGATGATTGAATTTTTATTGTACTGGCATTTTGATTCCTGTTTTCCTGAATCCTTTTCCTAAAAGAAAAACTTTTTTTTTGATTGGATTTGATCCACCCCTTCGACTCCAACTCGACTTCGAAGTCAACTGAAGAAATAATCCAAAATATTATTTCCAGATATCTCAATTCATCAAAATTCAAACAAGTGTTTCAAAGCCAATGATCTTGGGCAAATCCAAAGAAAGTTTTCCTGTACGTTCATCACAAAATATTTCTAGATCCCAATAGACCGCATAAAGGATCTCCCAATCCTTTGTTCTTCCGAAGCCATTCATGAAAGTAAGGATCGTACACCGGCCCGGAAACCCAACGGAGGTAAGAATCCAGCTGCAGAAGTAGCTGTCAAGTCTTTGGATCTTTGATATTGCAAAAAAAAAAGAATGACCAAAGGGCAGACAAAGCTAAGGAGAAGGGATTTTCTTAACTGGGACTTCAAAAAGATCGGCAGAGCGTAGGACTTTTTCTGTTCTGACTCCTGGAATAGAAAGAGATGGCCTTGGGAATCTAACTCTAACTGTATAGCCCGTGCTAAGGACTTTCCACTTCGTAATATCTTGAATCAAAAGCAATCCTCGAAGTGGTTTGTCAACCATAAAGAACGAAGCGAAGCGAAGTGTATGAACTCCCTCAAAACAATGCTCCTCGTTGCAAGCAACCTGGGGCTTGCCTTGCCTCAACATCTAAATAAAGAAAGGGCGGGCGCCGAAAAAGAAGCAGCCCAACCTCTTCAATCAAGCTTTGTTTGCTTGGTAGGCGATGCCTACTCATTCGGACAATGCTCTTCACACTTTCGTGTGCAGTTCTGCCCCCTTATCCCATGTTGAGTCACAGGCATTGCCTCGAAAAGCCCTTTAAACCATAAGAAGCGAGCCACATGCAGGGAAACTTGCACGTTCAGAATGAAAATTAAGGAAAAACAAATATGAAAATAAGAGCTTCCGTTCGTAAAATTTGTAAAAAATGTCGACTAATCCGCCAGCGGGGGCGCATTATAGTAATTTGTTCCACAAGAATCTGAAGAAGGGACAGACCTCGTCAACGGAGTTTTCTTATGAGCTTTCTTTCAGAAGGCTTGGCTCCGGAAGATGACCTGATGGAGGAAGACTTGAAGGTTGGTGAGCAGTCAGACCCAGGTTAAAGAAAAGTCTCTTTTATAGTTGCACATTAGTGGCTCGGAGAGGTTGAGGTCTTCCTAATGGGCCGGGAACAACCAACAAGCCATTTTCCGCCTTCCATCCCGCCTTTCCCTGCTTGATATGAGACTCTTTTTTATTAGCCCAGTCATCAAACCATAGGTATTTCGTCGATTCCTAAGAGTCAAGACCAAACTAATCAAAACTACCAAACGCCTTTCGTCCCTATGGCCTTCGATTCGGGATAGCCCCATGATGGACCTCGAGAATGGGTATTTCGTTGTCCGCTTTGATTCACATGAGGACCAGGATTATTTCTGTCAATCTATTGTTCATTAGTTACACGTTGGATAAACCAACGCAAATCGATTACTCCATCTCCATCATTGCATATTTTGGATATAATAAGTAGGATAGAGCGGATGCAAGAGCCGTCTAAGGGGCGTAGCGAAGAGCCCTAAGTTTTTTTATAGTAAATAATCTCCTAGCTATGAAATGAAGTAAGGCTTGCGTTATGCTTAACACATGCATGATGGTTTCTTTCTGACAAGATAAAGCAAACCCTATGAAAAGTCTACAGGCTTCAAGTGCAGACGAGTACAGACTTTACTTGATGACTAGAGCAGGCTTTCAACCGCTAGTAAGGCCGACAAATACAAAGAGTGAAGGTGCGACACACCGCTTTTTTAAGCCCAAAAGAAAAGCTAGTTCAGTCACTTCCGGATGAATAAGAGTTCTCTTTCCCCCGAGCTCGTAGAAAAAAAGCAAGTAAATAAAAAGTTTTTCAGAATGGATTTTGATACATATCATATAGAATATATAGAATTCTAGAATATATATAATATAGAATTCAACTTAATTTATTGATCATTACATAGAGTCATCAGTTCGAGCCTGATTATCCCAAAACCCAATGCGAGTTTTTCTATTTTGATTTGCTCCCCCCGCCCAATGAGAATAGATAAGAGGCTTGTGGTGTTTGCCTGAAGGGCAGGGAACTTGCTTGTAGGAAACTAGCTCAACTAAGAGCAGCCTTTCTTATAGTACCGCACTGGAATTGCAGTAAGGAGTCACCAATCATAATCAAGTCATGAGATTGAGAGTATCGAGAATCCTCTTCTTTGCCAATCATTGGCTTTCCTCCCGGTAAAGGTGATTGGTCGTAGAGCGGGTGTTACCCAAACGCGTAGCCTTGTTTATATTTCCCGTTAAATTCCGCGTAGGCCTCGGAAATTCTTGCTTTTCTCGGGGAATATTTCAGGCTGTGTCGACCCCGATTAATCGATGGGAGATGCTACAGTCCTGTTACGGAATCATTTCGTCGGAATTTGTAACCATTAGATCAACTATTTCCAACGGTTACACGATATAATTGTACAACCTTTGATGAAAAATTCTAAAAACCGTAACCGAATCGAACCGAGCAAATACTTCCTTTGAGGTATTTGTAATCGAACTGAGTACCCCGGTTAACCGAAAATTCAGTTCGATTTCGATTCGGATCTACGATCAGCGGTTAGGTTCGAATTTTTTGCCCAGTCCTAATTATATCGTAACTTTATTTTCTTTTCCTTGCATTTCATAGACGAAGGTACACCAGTTTGTCAAGAAATGAAGGTACACCAGTTTGTCAAGAAATGAAGGTTATGATATAGCAGCGGTTAATAAGTCGTAATTAAGAACGATTAATCTCACGGCCCAGCCCAACTCTACTTTGTTTGGTTGACTAAGCCCATGACCCTGGAGGCCCCAGTACCTAATACCTAATCCTATGTCCTGGCCAGGTGGCCCATATGTAAGTAATTAAAATTGTAATCAATACAAA